TAAAAGTCAGTGTAAAGCATAATATGATTGTCTCTTCACTCATTTTTCTGCAGACAGTATTTACTTCCGTATTGTAGCGATTCCTTATTGGACATTTTTACAAGTGCAGCTATTCATGGAAATTCTGGTCGTCATATCAGTGAACACATGTCGACTTAATTTAAAAATAATCGTATAATAATCACAACAATAAACATATTCAAATAATGTTTGACTGTTCACAAAAACGTGACTGTCTCAACCAAACCCAGATCTCCCAGTGTACGTCCAGTTGTTTTAACCACTGGAGCTATCGAGGCTGTCAACTCTTCGGCCATCTTTGGGAGTTAAGTGCCCCTATGGCGGTTGCATTTGTCATTTCACTACCTGGTCATCACTGTACGTTGTAACCATTACGTGGGAATGTGTTTCCCGTTTCGAATTGCCAATTACCATTGCTACCCCAAAGCTATTTAGCGGAAGTAAAGTTACAAAGTATTTTGAGTGTTCGAGGTAGAGCAACTGGGCGTATAGGCCGGAGATCTGAGTTCGACTCCCGGCTGGGGCAATTAAATCGAACATAACTCGGATATCATTTGAAACATTGCTTCTGCTAAGGAGCTATTGGGACGTAACGGTAGATCGCAATTGCAGACAGGAAACACGCGGCTTATCGTAACGTATTAAGGTGCTTCTATGAAACGCTTTTATTAGAAGTTACCCATCGAGTTCGGGTCGAGTACATGATCTAGTACCTTTTGCATGATAGGCCACCAAGAGCATCACGATCATATGTTGTTTATACCTTCAGACATTTATTTTATCTTCTGTGTTCTTGCGTTCATTGAGCGAAAATATTACTCCTTTTAGAGTCGAATTTGTCATAACTTAAATTTTTGATGAATATTTGAAAGGATGGTCTTCAAATTTCGACTCCCAAACTTAATTAGCATTGAATGAAAGAGCACGTGGCTTGTCAAATAAAATTGGTTGATTAGAAACGTGAACTGTTGGGCGAGATACCAAGTAAACGAAATCCTAAAAATGTGTGAATTCCACGAATGATCTTAGTTGTCCAGGCGACGCTACGACGGCAGCACCCAGGCAGCCAAGATCACTCGCGTGAGTGTGGCTGCGAAAGTGGGAGGGAAGTGAGAGAAATCTCCCTCCCAACAAAAAATCACTAATTATTAATTTTAACTCGACGTGAAGCTTTCAAGCAAGAATATTTTCGTATAATCATTAAAAAAAAAAAAAAAAATCGTATTGCAGCATGAGCGGAGTTTATCCTAGTCATTGTACATATTCCATAACATGTAAATATATTTACAAATAATTCACAATTATATACATACACAAAAATTACTCACACTCGCACCCAAAATCGTCTCTGGACCCGCCCCTGCGTTACGTATGCTACTCTAGAAAAATGTGTGCGTTTCACTTTATCACCCTCTGGTTGGTTGAAAAAGCAGCACTAACTCAGAAGGTTCCTCAAGCCGATCATCTGCGAAGAGACTGTTCATTCGTCAGGGTGTCGAGAGCGCCTGGGAACCGTGCAGCGGTGTTGACACTCCACCCTTGGTGCTAAATTTTGCTAGGTTTCCTTTTATGTATTTAATTCCCATTAATTTCTTGCCAATACTACTTAATTTATTGTTGGATATCCGTCAACGTGTTCGAGTTGCATTATCGTCAATTTTGTGACGCCTACCTCTTTTATTTATTTTATTTATTTTTTACAATCGAAGGACTTGGTGATTGGGAGGCCATTTCAGGAAATTTTACTGCATATTTAAATAACAATTTTTCTAACAAAAATAAGTTTTCGAAAGAAATAATTTATTTCTCTTTTCACAGCTGATTAGAAAAATGCATGTACAGTCATTGCACTTTACCATGCAGTGACTCGAAGTGAGTACTGTGAAATCGAAATAGTTAATGCAAATAAGATCTTTAGTTCGGTCCATACTTTTTAATGGTGGGCAATCGTTCAAACTTGTAAATAATTCTGTTCGATAACATACGCGTCCGATTTCTAAAAGTCAAGAAGGAAAAAGGAAACAGAAGAGTTCAAAGACGATACTCTAAATACCATACACTGTGAAATGAATTATGTCGTTGACGTGAACTTAATATACCAACACCTTTACACAGAAACAATAACATGTTTCACGTCTCGTGTCGTGTTTTTCGTCTCTTGCTACCAGAAGCCACGAAACGCCGGGAAGGGTTTTGCAGAGCCTTTTTTTTTTTTCAGAAATGTGCAAATTTGCGGAATTGTCTGGCGACCACCGTAATCAATCGAATATGTTAACTGTAGCGGCATGCGGGCCCCGACCTGACTGCTGTTGAATGATTGATTAGTGATTCCGCGCGTTAACGGCTAAGGTCATTCGTCCCGTAAGTGTAGTGCATGTTTTATCACTGGAGTGTGATGTATCCATTTTCCATGTTCCGTTTGGATTGTATAATTGTAAAGAATCTATAACAACCCACATCTCGATCAGGTTTTCGTCGAGTTTCCCTGATTCTCGAGCAAACGCATAGATGGCCCCTTATTTTGCTTCTGGACATAAATGTAACTTCAAATTAACTCCTCCCTATAGCACGTCCCTCAGTTTTTAACTGTTTTTGACGTAAATCAATCAATCAATCTTCGTCCGCCGGATGGCGAGATCCGACGCCGATCTACGTGGGCTCGCGAGGATTTTCCCCAATCAGGTATCTCTCACCAACGTGGCACCACCCCAGCCGGGACAAGCTTTAAGCTCCCGACAAGTGTGGTAGTATAGTGCATGTGACTGTAATTGTGGGGTGAGGATTGGACAAGGAAGAAGAAGGAATGATCGCTCACTGTCTGTGGCCTGTTTATTAAGGTACTACTCCGGTATTCTCCTGGTGTTAATCGGAGAAACCACGAAAAACTACCGATCAGAGCAGCCAGCCGCTAGAATTCTTCTCGAGACAGTGGCTAAACTCAACATAGCTGTCTAGCGAATATCAAAAATCCTGCCACAATCGGGTCTCCAACCCTAGGACCTCCCGGTCTGAGACACTGCAGTGACATCAGTTGATACCCTGAGCAATCCTTGTCAATCTGATTGTTGTTATTAGCATCTTATAAAAGGGAGGAAATTCGTCATTTTTCCTTAGCGTTTGATATTGAGAGGGGATATTAGTTCGTCAATTATAGTTGGTCTTGACTAAAGCTGGTATGCTTTAAAACATGTGATTTAAGTCAAATGATTAAAAAACAATATTTGAATCAATATTTATTATTTGTAATATTTGAAAATATATTTTTGAATTTTAAATATTTGTAAAATAAAAATTCCTCAGATAAAAGTACTTAAATCAATTACAAAATTAATGTTAAGTATATATTATATTTCTTTAATTTATTATAAACTTTATAAAGTTTTTCCTGTACTTGAACTATTTTGAGAACATAGAATACATTATAATATTTAAAAAAAAATGAACTAAGTTTTTTGATGAATTCAGTTGTTTACAACAATATGTGCTTTCAGTAAACTTTTTTGTGCTTTTAAAGTAATTAAGGATAAATAAATCACTTACCGATTTTGGTTTGAATTAAAAACATCTAATACAAAGTTTTTTTAAACCTTATTTAAATCAAATAAATCTTATTTAAATTAAAAGAATTGTCTTGACTAAAAAAACGTGATTATCCTGCCCTAGTTTTGATCAACGTCACGTACAGCTATCTATTCTCGGTGGCGTCTTGTCCCATCCCCATACCTTCCCAACCCTCAGAGCCCGAGCCCAACCGGCATATCACTAATTATCTCACTAATTGACTCAGAAAACGTAATAATTTCATGTGATCTGTTAACACAGAATGAATTCTATAGAACTTTTATATTAGTGTTCTAAAAAATCAAAAATGTCTGTATATATATTTTTTTCTATACAACCATTGTGTATGTTGGATGAATGAAAAAGCAAGAATTATTTTCCTGCCTCTTCAATAAGAAATGACATTTGTCTGTCTTCCAAAATATTAATTACCCTGGTCATGTACCGTGCTTTCACATAGTTAAATATTGTGACTAAAAATTTGTTAAGTGGAGAAGCATAATCGTTTGAGAATAAATGATCATTTTTTACTTATGTAATTTTACCTTATAAGTTTCATTCAATTATTTATCACAGCAAACTAATGTGTGTCTGTCGACTGGGCCATGTCAGTTAAATCACAGTTGAAGAGTCAACTGTCCAGTATCAATTATGATTATGTGTTGTCTCTGGCCAATTTTCAAAGATGTTTGTATTTATCTTCTTTGTTTCCGTTCTTATTTCATTGTTTATGACAAAAAGAACTTGATTTAAGTATTTGAACAAAATTTTGGAAACATATTTCTTCCCATCCTTAGGTTCTATAATTCAACATAAAAAATAAAATAACCAATTTACTTCTACATTAAATGTCCCTCAATATTGGTATGTACAATTTTAAAATGTTAATATATATGTTCTTGAAACATTCAAATTGTTAAATCAATTTTTTTTGTATTAAAAATATTAAATAAGAAAGGAAACAAAGAAGATAGATACAATTGTCTTTCAAAATTGGCCAGAGACAACATATAGCGTACATAGAATTATTAGACAAATATAAAATAAAAAATCAATTATGATTGTTCCAAAGTCAAAGAATACTTGCTTGTATGCAAAATGTATCAAAAAATATTTTCAGTCTGGTTTGTATAATTTGTACTGTTACAAAAAATCTTTGTAATGTAAAGTTAAGACTCCTGATATTATTCTTATAATCTATCTCATTGACTAATTATAAGCTATCCAATATAGTACTACATAGTGAGAGTCATTATTAATTTATATTTAACCTATTTATTATTGTTTATTTTATAGTCCATAGCAAATAGAATTGCAAGTCAAACGTATTATAAATATTCAAAATCTTTAACAAATAGGATAATAATGTACAAATGTAGAAAGTATCCACATTTTAATTCCATTTATTTTCCTTACAGTACCTTGGATGTGTCGAGGTATTTGAATCCCGGGGTATGCAAGTTTGTGAAGAAGCGCTCAAAGTACTGAGGGTAAGTAATATCTGACGTTTTTATAAATAATTTGGGACTAATTATTTCTAGAATGATTACTTTTTTCTCTTTATAATATCTTTATGGAGATTAAGTTTCAATATAAAATATTACTTTACCAAATACTATGTTTACTGACTTTTTTGTTAACTAGTTGATTAGTACACTTGTTTTCATGCAAGAAGTTCATATACATCTAATTTGTACTTATTTTATGTCACTTGTGTAGTTTAAAATGTATTTTGTTCAGAATTCCCGCCGGCGCCCTGTGAAAGCAGTTCTCTATGTTTCTGGTGATGGTTTGCGTGTAGTTGAAGATGAAACAAAGGTAAGTGTTTGCAATAATAATATAATGTAATAAACTCAACATAACAATATTAATTTTGATTTTGTGCATTGTGAAGAGTGTCTTTTTAAAAACGTTGGTGATGTGTTTCTTTTCCAACATCGCTGTATAGTCAAGTAGGCAATTTGTATCTGCAGTTACTTTCTCCTAATTTTCTTATTACAAAATAATATATTTTATTTCCTGTTTCAGGGGCTTATTGTTGATCAAACGATTGAGAAAGTTTCATTTTGTGCACCGGATCGTAATCACGAGAAGGGATTTTCATACATCTGTCGTGATGGAACCACAAGGCGTTGGATGTGTCATGGATTTCTGGCATTAAAGGAATCGGTGAGTTATGAAACTTTTTAAAATCAGTGCATACCTTGCTGTTCAATTTCATGTTCTCTTTACTGCTGTATTTGCCGTGATTGGAAGTGTGATTAATGTATTTAGGAAATAATCAATCACCAAAATTTACTGTTGTGGCTCATTATTTCCTAACTCACATTATGGAGTACCGTACTGCATATCAGCTACCACAACTGAATTTATGTAAGAAATTGGTAATAATGTATCAGTCAGTTCATTTAATTTTGAAATTAATATATGTAGTTATTGAATGTATATGAGACATTATTTTATTGTATATATAGTGGAAGAAATGCTTTAATAAGCATGATGACTATTTATACTGATATTTTCTCCTTAAACTAAGGTCTAAAGATTTATTACAAGTTTCCTAGGTTAAGATATACTTCATTTTAATAATGTTTTTGACTAATTTTCCAGGGTGAACGATTAAGTCATGCTGTTGGATGTGCATTTGCTGCTTGCTTGGAACGTAAGCAAAAACGTGACAAAGAATGTGGAGTCACCATGACTTTTGATACTAAAAATTCAACATTTACTCGAACAGGAAGTTTCCGTCAAACTTCCATAACAGAACGTCTCCAAGATCCACAAGAGTTAAAACCATCAGGTGGGAGGGAATGTACCGAAATTCTGGTGGTGGTCTATTGCTTGGTGTATCTCTGGTCATATAAATGTATTATCCTTTGTTTGCCAGCTGATGGAAATGGTCGTGTTGCAGAACCACCCGCAGTCAAACCTGTTGTGAACCCATATGCCATAGAGCGCCCGCATGCCACTGCTTCCATGCTTCAGCGCCAGGGTTCCTTCCGCGGTTTCCAGCAGCTGAACCAGGCTTCTCCTTTCAAAAGACAGATGTCACTGAGAATTAGTGAGCTCCCCTCCACTCTAGAACGGCAGCGTTCTTTGAGTCTTGAGGGAAGTGACTTCCGGCTGCCTCCCGTCCACATGAAGCCTCCAGGTATTGTTCAGTTCCACTTGGGTTTTACTTTATCAGTCTACATGGATATGTCTGCCTGTCTGTAGTCCAGTTGCTAAGGTAACTGGTTACTATACAGATGATGAGATGCAAATTCATCATAATTCAGAGTGGAGTGAATTGACAACCTCTGCCATTTGCTGTTTTCTTTTAAGCTTCTTCAGTTTTGTATTCAGTCTTTTGCAAACATTCTTAATACGTTGTTGAAAAGTGGTGATGTCCACTAGTGTCTGAGAAGAGAGCTTCATGTATGTAATATTCATGGTTATACTTATAGGGTGTCCTTCCTACAGATCCTGTGGTGAGATTATTTAATCCAGGACCATATCTTGAAAGTATTGCCAGCATTGATAGCCTAATTCCTTAACTACGCTATGTGAAGTCCTGGAGGTTAAGCAATTTGAGATATCACAGGTTTCAGGTTGGGTGACCATTTGGGAACCCTGGGCTCTTACAGAACTGGACACGTAACTGAAGGGATAAAAGGGCTAACTATAGCTCCTGGTTGACTAGATTAAAGGAGGATTACTCCAAATGTTCGACACCAGTAGGGACCGTTCTCCAATTTTTTAATGAAAATGACACGTTTTTAGGATATGAATGTGCTCTTGAAATGCTATCCCCTCAAGTTTAATGAGAATACTTCTTTAGAATATTTTGTGATCAATATGTAGTCATTATTTTCAATAATTAAGTAAAATCACAAAAATTATATTGGATTGAGGAGGGGGCATGGCCTCTGTAGCCCTTTGAGATTTGCCACTGATTTAACCATTATCCTATCATCCATGATCGATTTCTGAAAAAACTGGGCAATTCTGAAAAACACAGAAATCAACATGCAGCAAGAATACAGAGAAAATGCAGAGAAGTATCTTGTCATTTCAAAAAATGCTTTCGATTTGACATTATACCCGGGTGGTAGTAAAAAATTATGTGTTAATACATTGGGTTCTATGCAGCGAGTGGGAGTCAGAAAGAAAAGTATTTCAAAATGCCACGTGTCATTATCCATATAATGTACACAATGCAGAAATGCCAACTGCTGTTCATCATTATGATTAATTAACAATTACGATTCCAGAATTTTTAAAACTAAAATAACCCAATAGTTCTTCAGAAAGTAGGAATAATGTATACATTTTTTAACATAACAAAAATTATCAATTCATTTATGCTGCCTAACAATAATAGAACTTGTGTCAAATAAAATGAATATGATTTAATTCCATCATGGAATCAATGACCAAAAGGAAAGAAAGGAAGAAGGAGAAAGAAAGAAAAAATGAGAAAACAAACGAAGTTTGAGAATTCCATAAAGTTCTTCATTTCAAGTTTAAAATGAAATTTAGCAACATTTTTTAAGTTCTGTGTCCATTTTCTAGCATATTCTCTGTCTGTTGAGGATTTCATTTTGAAATATATTGAAGTTAAATTTTTAAATGGTTATATGTTTGAAATGTTTTAAATACATAACATTACTATTTGTTAGCAATAATTGTTGAAAGGAGCGACTTGTTATTATCTCAAAGAAATTGGTAATAACTTAACAATTAAACAAGACAGCTAGCAGATATTTGTTGAACATGTTCTTATGAAATAGTAAACGTTTTTCATTTAAGCGTTTCTGATTTTTTTGTCATTACTGTAATTAATTGCATTATTATTTCTGGAGAAATGTGTATATTGAAATGAATGATTTTGCAAACAAGCATTGTTTTGAGTACTGAATAGTAAATAATTGTAACTTTTAACATTTAAATGAACTTGATTGAACTCATGTGTAAAGAATACATTGATCATAAGTATTTTATACATAACAAATGAAAACTTTTGTACACATGTGGTTCCTTAGAAATCTGTGTCTTAGAGTTCCTATGCTTTTTGTGAAATGCTTAGTGCAGAATAAATGTAATTGATGTGTTGCATTTAATGTGATCATCTGATTCCTTTTCTTCTTTCTTTGAATCTTTCCTCCCTTCTTTCTCAAAATTTTTATTCTTAACTCTCTTCATATGCTAATCTTTAACGTTCTTGAAAATGTAAAATGCTTTCTCTGTTTAGAGTTGAATGAAACTGTTATTTCATTTAGTGATAAGAGTTGAGGGAGTGTGTGCTTATATCTTGAATGATGTCAGGTATCAAGCAGCAACAAAACGAGCTGTGGTGTTGGTATTAGTCAGGGATCTCTGTATAATATCTTTACTGTTTTTCTTCCAGTCTTCATGTTTGATGTAACTGCTAAAGGTCAGTTCCGTTGGAATTACTCACTTCACCAATTTCTTGTAAATATTCAAACATTGAACTTCTACACAAGTACTCAGGTCTATTTTTTTTGCCACTTTAGTGCAAATAATGAACATGTAGAGCAAGTTTGTTGTTAAGGAGCACGTATATTAAGGAAATAGCTTTGCTTTGTTGCTGCTCAGTGTTCATCATGCTTAAATTTTGTTTCATATTAACTCTGTGTTTCTTAAACAGCTGTTAATGGCTGTGAAGGTAAGGATAACAGTAATTGCTTGTTATTTTATATTGCCTGCGCACGAGTAGCTGCATGATGCAGCATAATATTGAATGCTTTTTGGATAGTGAGTAGTTACGTTTTAGCTGGGTAAAATTTAGTGATAATCATGCATGTGTGGGCTGCTAAATGTCCATGCAGTTGTCTGAAGCAAAGCTGCTGTCATGGCAGCAGCTATTGCTTCTGGCTTAAGTCATAGCTTTGTAACGGTGTTTGTCTCTATTATTTCAGACTTCTCTTTCCACTTGACTGTTTGCTCTTGTAATCTTGGTGAAGGTCATTTCTTTTAACATTCAGTTTGGACATAATGTGTTCAAGAAGGTTGTAAATTTAAGTTTGTAAACTTATTAAAACAATAAAATTAAATAAATGCCACTATTCATTCTGTGTTGCACTGTCGTTGGTATATTCTTTTGTTTCATTTATGAAATTATTCATTGTATTTTTTGTTTTCTGTTTTCTCTCATAGAAATTACAATTTCTGTTGTCAAATAGGTCCTTACAATTATTTCGCGTGCTTTTGAAACAAGCAGTTGTGTTTTAAAATGAAAATTTCATATCTCAATCTCAAATATTTCTGAAAATAATTAAACAATATATTTTTGTGTGGGGTTGAAGGTAATTGAGGAATGATAGAAATGATTGGTATTTTTCTTGTCAAATATTGTAATTTAATAAAACGGTATTTTTTATAAATATTCCATTACTACTGCTACTGAAATTCTGGATACTTCTGATTTTTATGTACCATCTGGTTTTTCATGTTGTATTTCTATTAAAGTAAGATGATCAATTTAAGCAATTCAGATGTATCTATGAGTTTTGTTACCACATAAGTTGAATATTTGCTTTTCATATTTAACCAGTTGTCTATTCCCTGCATCTGTGAAAATTGTAACTTTTGGCATGAATGCACATTTAATTTCTTCAAAGAGATAAAACTTTAATTTCTTTTATTGAACATAGATACAACTTTATAATTTTGCTTTTATTTGATGATTTAATAGATTCGATGTGATTAGATTTCATTATATGAAAGCCACTTTTTCATTATTATTGATATGAGCATTTAGTTTTTTATCAGAAAGACTGAATGGTGTGCACCAAATTTAATGGAGTGCATCATATTAATTGTAAGTTGACACACAATTAAGTAAAAGAAAGTAGATGATTATAAGTGGACATCTGCTGCGACCTTACAAATTACTTAATATTCATCATCATTTCTGGAAATTAAGACTTAGCACACAGTATTGAAATATATTCAAAGGCAGTGTTCTTGTATTTTTAAATTATTTCTATTACAATGTTTATGCATTTTAATACCTTGCTCAAGGTACTAAAGAACCAAATATAAATTTGTATTGTATGTGACAAAAGCAACATTCTTGAAAACATATGTTTCCTTGTAATAGCAGTTGTTTTTACTAGAAGTTGAACACTTGTAGATTTGTGGAAAACACAAGGTAGCAAGCAGTCAGTTGGGAATGTGGTGCTGTTGGTAGCTTGTAGTGGCTGTTGTCTTGCAGACAGTCCCCAGCCCTGTGGTCGTGGTCCAAGGAATCGCCTCCAGTCGCTTCCTAACAATTTTGCAGTCTTCAACAGTAAGTGTTAAGGAAGGAGCCTTTCCCTGGATATTTTTGTTTTAAATATTCTCAATAAATTTTTAATGAGGCATTTAATTTCAAAAGCAACGTTTTCAAAAATAATTTATTGTAGGAAAGACAGTTCATATTTGAAGCCCATGTTTAGATGAATAGAATCATCAAACCATACTGAATATTAGTCTATTCATAGAAGTTATTTTACATAATTTTATTATTTAAGTGGAAATATTGAACTTAAAATATGCAGTTTATGTATTTTGAATATCTTATTGTTTCAAACTCCACCAACAAGATTGCAGGTACAGTATAAGGGTATGTAAAGACCTGAAAGTGTGTGATAGTCTATTTAAGTTGACTGGCATTTGACATGTCATGTAGCACTTGTAATTCTATTGTCGCTTGAGCATGTTGTGAGCTCTGTATTTAGTGAGTGATGACCACATGAAAAGAAACATTCAATTGCAGCATTGGAGGACACAGTTATTAGTATTGATTGTATATTGCACAGTGTGAAATTGCGTTATTAGGTCTCACAGTGAAATTCTGAATGAAATATTGAATAACTCAAAATAATATGATTTATTTTAGCATAATTTTCTTTTATTTAACTGAAAAAGGAAATTAAGTTTAAACTTATTTTGATGCTTGACACACTTCTACAACTCTCTTAGTACTAAACTAGAAAAGTGCCTTTTAATTCTTTTTAAAAAGTAGTAATCTGTTAATTGTCTTTGTGTTATGGTAAAAATAGTTTTGGTTTATGCGATACTCTTATAAATGTACATTTTTGGTGTCAGTTACTCTATCAATTTTTATTTATCTTTTCAGAAGATATAAAACTTGTGTATTACAGTTTGATGTAAGAGGAATAACACTTATAGAGTATTATTTTAAAATTAAATTATAAAAAAATGTTTCATGAGGTTCATAACTAAACTCTTTGAGAGGAGATTATTTTATTTTTGACCCTTGTTAATTCAGAATTTTTACTGAGGAGATCTGTGAATATGTTGAAATTATTTTGTTTATGAGAATTTAAATGAAAACCATGCAGATGTGGTATTGTGTACTGAAGAGATACAATATTTAGTTTCATTGTATTGTTCAATTTATAAATGGTTTTACTTACCGTGGAGAAAAGAAAATTTTAATTAATAATTTAATCACTCTTATCTTATGTCTCTTCATTTAGAAGTCTCAACAAAAGGAATTGTTAGCTTCTGTAATTTTGTAAGTGGAGTTTGAAATATGAAAGCAAATGAGGCAGCAAGGAAATGTTTCTATTATAAATTTGGAACAGATTGATTATCATATAAAACAGCTTAGTAATTTTAACACACTGCTTTATTCTTCGTATACTTTATAAGTTCATATTTATAGTTCCATTTACATTGGTAGTAGCATATGTGTGCTCTATAGTACTCCTGTAGTGTTCGTAGAGGGTAGTGATGAGTTACAAAATGTTAGTGTGATTTGAAGTAACCAGTAGTTCTGGAATGTTAATATGCAGTACATTCAATGAGCTTTCCTCCTTTCCCTGTAATATAAGTACAAATTTTGAAAAAGAAAAAATGTGTTTTTGTGATCATATACTTTCTAAAATCATTTAAATAGGATGCTAATTGTAAATAAATGTATGACTAATAATAAAATGAATAGTAGAATTTACAATAAACATTTATAGCAAGAAGACTTTATTTAATGTTAATTTTTATTTATAAAAAGTTTCTTGAGTTAAATCAGTTTTAAATATTAGTAATGGGTTTATGTTCAGGTAGAAGTGTTCATCTTACTGTTTTGTGCAGACTGTGAGTAGCTGGATGAATTTGCTTCTATTTCGTTTTTATCACAAATTAAGCATGAAACCATGCATTAAAATATAAGAAAATTGACATATTTTTTTTTGTTAGCTGTAATTTCAGACAAAAAGTCTTCTATTCCTTATTTCTTTGAATATTGTACTTTACTGATTTATAATTGACATATTCCTACCAGTTTTAATTAATTGAATGATAATAGTAAAATTAATTATTGTAAATATGGATTGCATTGAGAAATTTCGTATCAGTGACCTCCATAAATGTTAAGACCCTCTTCAAATAACAATTATTGGCTTACATTATTATTGATTAAATCACTTTTAACATTCCTCTTCACAATTTTATTTTAGACCTTTGTGCAATTATCAATATCACTCTCTCCATTCTAACAGAAACATTATTTTACATTTATGGGGGTGTTCTCTGTATTGTTGAAACTTCCTGTAGTTTGCTTCTGAACTTTAATACTAATTGAGATTAATACTTTTTTGAACAAGTATATTGAATAATATGAAGTATATATGAAAATTAAATTTCTTAAAATTCCAAGAAGTGATTCACACATTTATTCTTACGACAATTTACTAATAAAAATTTAGTGTATTTTTCAATATATTTGTTTGCTTGGCACCTGTAATTAACTGAGAAAACAGAAAACTTTATGAAATGATCACCCTCTTGTATGGTTCGGCATTAAAAGAGATAGTGTTAATTGTAAGAATGGTTGTGGTGGTGGTGGTGGTGGTGGTGGTGGTGAAGGGTGGTGATGGGATGTTTACTATTAATATCTCAATTGTTTAATAATGTTTGGTTTATTACATGCATTTGTTTAAACCACATTTTAATTGCATGAAAATAATTTTGAATACTATAGAATTTAAGGATTTTAAGCATTATGTAGTTGTAGTTTAGTTATTGATTTTTGTAAAACATCAAAATATTTATTCTAAATATGTGTTGCTTTTGTGAATTGTCTGAGAAATTGGCAATAATAATGCAAACCTTGAATATGCCCTTTAGTGACAGTGTAAAGTGAGGATGTTAAGATATTTTTGTTGGTTAGTAATTTTTTTGTTAATGTACATGTCGCAAATTACATTTTTTGGTCGATTAAATTTATTGTTCTGATGTAATTCAGTTAATTAAATTGTAATTTTAAGAAGATACTCTACAGTGTGTTTAATTAGTTTCTTGTGTGTTTAAACAAAATAAAAATAATATTGTGATTAGATGTAAAGAAAAATATAATTTACATCATAAACATTCAGAAATAAGATTTGTGTTTCTCTTTTGCATGAACTTGAAAATTATACAACTTATTTCAAAATATTTTGTTTTTCATGCTTAAAATACTCATTAAAATTCAAGTAAAGAATACAAGCACCATGTATTTAAAAAATATTCCATAAGATCTTACATTGTAGAATGTGATTTTATTTTTAATTTATAATTAATTTTCATTTAATTTTCTTTGAACAGCATTATATACTTTTTATTTCATGAAGTATGTATTTTTAAGAGTGTGAAGGGTTGATATGCTTCTCTTCCTTTGTTATTGCTTTCATAGTTGTTAAGTTTAATATATGAAAAAGATGCATTTACATTTTCTGCTTGACCGGAGTAAGCATCTCAAGCAGAATGCACACACAAAAAAAAGAGTTTTAAACCTTTTTTTCCTCAGTATGGAATTATAATTAATTGCAATCCACAAGAACTTACTTATCAGTCAAATTGAGGAGTTTTGTAAAATTCTCTAAGTTTTCATGTACATTAACATTTGAATGGAGAGTAAAGCATTCTTGTTGAAATACCTAAGTTTAAGTTAATAATTAATTAACAATAATTTAATTTTAATTTGTAAAGAAAAGCTTATTTTTATTATGAGGACTTTCCACAACTGTGACAAAAGAGAAAGAGGGGATGGGTGTAAAGAAATGAATGTTCTTTTAATATTTTACACATTTTTAATAATTATTTTAGTATTAAATTTGAAGTATGCATTAATTGATTACCTGGCTTTACTCAGAGGTATATATAGTACAATCATTTATTAAACAGTCCTGCACCATCTCACCTGGCTACACCTGGTGTCATTGCTGCCGCCTACATACATTGCAGATTGCATTGTTTTAAGTGCAATGACAATTTGCAACACCAATTTCGGAATGTTACCAAATTTGGAGACACATTTTGGAATCGAGAACACCCCTTGTTTTCTTCAACTTGTTAAAATTTATCGTTCAAAATTTGGAAGCAATTAGTCTCATGGTTTAATAATTTTAGTGGACACACATACATACATTTTTATATATTTATATTTTAAAATTAATCAAAGATGAGTATCGTGTTTGAATTTGAAAATAAATTTTATATTGTGCTTTAGTTTAAGTCAGAAAGATGGAGTGGAGTTGAAGTGGAAAGGGGTATTTATATACAAATATACATGGTGCTTTATAGCTGCAGTAGAAAAGATACATTTTTCTTTATAAAATGTTCAGTCAAATGGCAAAACTGTACTCAAGTAAAACTTGGTACTTAAGGGATATATAGTACTTGGCATACAATCCAATCAAATTCCTTAATTAACATATTCCATCTGACTGTATGGATTTACTTGTCCCGTACATATATTCCTCATTGCAGTACTATTAATTTTTTCCAGTTAATAATTTGTATGTAAGAATTAAATTGTGATACGAGTTTATAATAGAAAATGGAACATTTGTTTTATCCTTTATTTTTTAGTTTATCTTTGTTGTTTTGTTGCATTATGTAAGATCAGATGGATCAAACTAGATTTAAAAATCCTGTCTGCAATGTCATGGTATATTGTATACACACTAGTATTTCATATATTATATCAATTATTTAATGGTTATGATAATAACTGCGATAGACAAGCTTTAATTAGTTCTTATTTTCCTGGCTTGAAATACTTTAAAGAAAAGAAAAGTATTTTGGAGAAAGTACCATTAAACTTCACTGCATAATGAGGAATTACTGTTCTTTAAAATCTAGTGTTTTCTTTTTTCAGTGAGCCCTATTCCAGAAGCATCTCCGATGAGTGATAAAGGAGATTCCGTGAGTGCCATGTGTCAGCAATTAGCGCAGGGACTGTCATTGCTGTCTTCCAGTGATGACTTTTTGCCTCCAACTCCAGCTACATCTCAGGTGAATTTTGATATAAATATTGTGTCTTTTTCTTTCAAGTTGCACTCTCAAGTGACTTTGAAATAGGATGAGAGTACTGGGAAAATATTTTTAATAAAATGAATACACATCAAACCCAAACAATAATCGGAATGATTTTTCAGAAATTTTGATAACTTCCCCTAAGAATCAGTGTTCCATATAGTTACATTACTGAACAATATTTTTAATTGTTCTCCTCCCCCGCTTATAAAGAAGTTTACATGTCTGAAGTGTCAAGCTCTCATCTATTACTCTCATAATCTTTTGGTCATTCATGAGGAGACTGGACTTTTTCAGTTTATATTCTTAAAAATAAAGAGAAAAAACAGTCTTTTACAATATAGAACACAGTTATAAGAATAATGGGTAAAACATCCCTTTGATACACACAGGTCTCAGTTTGTGCGGCTTGGAAAACTTCGCTTTTTATATTTTCCAATTTATGAAACCTTGTTTTTTGTTTAAACTGATTTATTTAAGGAATAAATAAATCAGTTTATATGAAAATACAACTTATATACATTTCTTTACTTGAGAATATTAGTACCTTACATGCATTCAAAATCAAATAACCTTTTCTGTTGAAAAAAACAAAAACAAAACACAATAAAAAAAAAAACTTTTCTATCCTTAGAGACTATTCTGACTTGAAAAAATTAAACTAGTGGTGCTACAACAGCACATATTTTTTTGTTTTAATGATATCACTTAATCTCTCAATAACACTTGGACCATCACTTATAAATCTCTGCGAAACGGAATGCCAGAG